TTTTTTTTTTTTTTTTTTTTTTGAAATTTCTGACTTTCCTTTGTCTGATACTGCTGATGCAATTAACCTTGACTTCGTTATGCAATTACGTGATGACATGAACCTTTTTTTCATGGACACATGGACAATTCACAGCAAATTCTTTTTTAGGGACGGTGTAACTTTGTTTACGGAGGTACATTTTCGTAAAATCATTTAACGTACTGAGCTTGAAACAAAACTTTTGTCATTAGAACTGAAGAAAGTTCGTGCGGCCTTTTGTTAGTAATTAATTAATTTTGTTAGTAATTAATTAAAATCGAATTTCAGTCAGTAGTTTGCAAATGTTACGCATAAGTTTCATTTATATAGTTCGTATACATATTAATCTGTAATATTTAATTTTGTTTTGATGCTTTATACATGAAAGTGAAAATGAACAATGAAAATTTGAAAATCTGTGCTTTCATACTCTATGAATTCAGAATAAATTCAGAGATATTCGCAAATGCGGACGCATTTGTATATAGAGAAAGTTCAAAATGAAAACAGTTCAAAAATAATTCAAGTGGTTTAAGCAAGCCGATGAATCACATTTAAGATACCCATTCTATATTGAAGATAAAGAACTACATAAATATATGCATTCAAATGCTGTACAAGTATTCCAATATGATGAACTTACAATAAGAAGAAACTTCACTCACTTAGTTTCCGTAAAATACTGAATAGACTGTTTGATAGAGGAGAATTTTGTTTTAAAAATTTACAACTTCTGCGAATAAATCAGGATACCATTAATAATTTTGGCAATTTATTCTTAGCAAAATTGAAGGGATTTAGTGATTTCAATAAAATTTGATCACAAGCTTAATTAATTATTAAAATATTACAGATATACAAATTAGTAATTAATATTTTACTTACTGTGATGTATAATATTTTATTATTACTGAATATTCATTGCGAGAAGAATAGTATTAAATATACTAAACAACAATTACAAAAATAAATAATTATTCATTTAGATCTTCAAGAATATATTATTAAATTCAGTGTGAAATTTTTTTTTTTAAATCATACGTGATAAAATAGTATATGTATATTGATATTTATGTACACACTTAAATAATTAGTAAAATTAATAAAATTATTAAGTTGCATTCAGATTCTCCAATTTTATTAAAAACACGTCAGATGTCGAAAATTGAGAATAGCTCTAGCCTGGTTATGTGTTATCATATGAGCGTATCAATACGTAATATAGGAAACTGTGAATGATAAAATTTTTTACACATTAACTTTGCCGGAAAATTTAATTATGCGACGCTCACCTTTCGATAAATGGAGCTAACACTTTCTGGCAGTGGTAAATTGTAGAAAACCAAATTCCAAGGGTTATGCCCTTCGAGAGCCCTTGCGAGGTCTTCTAGTATCGGGATCTTTGATGGACGCCTGGTTGCTCAAGAAAATTCAGTTAGTCCGTAGCTTTGTGTCCTGTCGTGTTGTAGGGGTTGGAGGGGTGATAGTGCTCGGACGGATGTCTCTGCTTGGAACTTAATTAGCCGTCGCAGCCTTAATTACCGCCTGATATTGCTCCGGCACAATTAACGCAATTAACCGGAGAAAGTGTTGCGCGTGTCTTCTTTCGAACTTCTTCATTTCCGATCGTTCGTTGTTACAAAATCCTACATCGAAAGATGGAAAAATTACGAAGAGGGAACGAATTTTATTTTCGCTGCTCACGCGTCTTGCATTTAGTTCCCATCATAAAGTTAACTTGAGAAAAAATTATTTCGTTCGTAATATAATAATAATTGTAGCGATATCTGTTGAAATGCATTTTTTAAAAAAATGCATATAAATGGACATATATACATATATGTATCATCAGGTAACGTGAAGTTGCAATGTTGAAGTCGTTAATGTTAATTGTTTTCTATCTTAAATTAATGTGAATAATAATAACTGTGAGTAATAGTAATTCTACATTATATGAATATTATTGTAGATAATAATAATTCTATATTACATATACTAGTTTGATTTCATTTTTAATTAGAAAAGACATTAATGTAATATTAGTTACATAAATACGAATACAGTGATTATTTTTGTTTATTTATAAGAAAAATTGATAGTTTTATTTTCTATATAATCAAAAATTTATATCGCAAAGATTCGAATGTGTTAAGAATGCATACGAATATAAAACTGTACAGATTTTTTTCATTATTTAAAACTTCACTGTGAAAAATTAACGACATCGTTGGTAAAGATATTAAAAAATCAAAAAAATTCTATATAATATATAAAAATGTTTTATCGAAAAAATTTATAAAAGTAAATTGAAATAACATCTATCTCATGTTTTCTTAAAATTTTTCCTTTGACCATTGTAATGAAATACTATTTTTTTATAATTATACAATAATATACAGATTTTAGAGTAGTAAATGTTGCATAAAAGTGTTCTATATATACTTTAAATTTATAATAATCTTTGATGATTCTATATAATACAGTCATCCCCTATTTATTTAGTACAAATTTGTAAGTATACTAGAAGCCTTCCAGTTCCGTTTATTACGTATAATAATATTCTTATCTTAATTTAGGAGATTATAATTATCTCTTGAATATTTACCACGTTGATTAATCGAATAACTTCTTGCTCGTTAGAAAATATCCAATAATTAACGTAACTATGTAACGAAGGTTTCCTTCGACGTTATCACGCCACTAGTCTCGTCAGATTAATTAGAAAGAACGATTTTCAAGAATGGCGAAATGGTAGATAAATGCAGCCGGTTGAACGTAGCAGAAACGCGAAAAGGAAGAGGGTGAAACGAACAGGCCACGAAAGCGCGAGCACCGCGGAAAGGGATGGGAAGTAGCTCGCATAATATACTCGTCGCGGCATAATAATTCAGAAATTTGCATGTACGCGGGCTAACTCCTCAAGTAGGTTATCTATGCTGAAAGTTTTCTTCGTGATATATAACGCATCCACGGTCGAGTAGAGGGAGAGAAGCCGCGTCTACATCGCCTTACGTCCACGCCATCGAGGGGGTTTTCGCAAGTGAACTTGCCTAACTAGGCGCAGGTACCGCGAAATATACGTTGTACCAGCGGGACATTATCTTTTCGAATTTGAATTACCGATCCTGCATTTCCCTCCTCCTGGTTAAAGCTGTCGTTTATACGAAATTTATATGCGCGAGTTATATTTACAACGTTTGGATCACCAGATAGATACTTTGTATCTATGACATTTTATGCAAAGATGTATTATTATGAATATTATCGTAAATAACACTTATAACTTTATTTTACACATTTTAAGTTGAAACAATATATTTATAATTTTTCGTATTTTTTCTTTTTTTTTTCTTA